GGGGCGGGGGGGGCGGGGGGGCGGGGGGGGGGGGGGGGGGGGGGGGGGGGGGGGGGGGGGGGGGGGGGGGCCGAGGTTGGCGTGCAACGACGAGGGCGGTCGAGGGGCCCGGCGCCACACCTGCCATGCCCGAGACTGGCGTCACACCAGGAGTCTGTGTTGCCCATCACCACCTTATGACACACCAGAATCCCAACTCAAACCCACCTCTTACCCCCCACCCCCCCACCCCTCACACACACAGTGCCACGGCACAGCCACACTGCTGCGCCGCCCCGGCATGCTGCTGGTGCGCACGCTGGCGGTGGCCAACAGCAGCGACGCGCTGTACGGCTGCGTTTTCTGCGGCGGCTACGCGCTGCCGGAGCTGTCCATGGGTGGCGGCGGTAATGACGAGAGCACTGCGGTGAAGGTGTATGAGAACCTGCGCCAGGCGTTGGTCAACCGGTACCCCCTGCCCCACCGCATGCCGGTGCTGGCCGGGACGGTGCCCTGCAAGACGTGCCATGGATCAGGCAAGGTGGCGCGCCTGACGCCCGTGACCGGGCGTGCGCTGGGGCTGGAGCGGGCGTGGAGCCGGGGGATCACCTCGCGCCTGGGGCGGCGCTACCTCTTCAAGGAGAACCGGCCGGCGGACCGGCAGAGGCTGTTCATGGAGTACCCGGGGGAGCCCCAGCCTGACGCGCACAGCATGCCGGATGTAGTGGAGAAGCCGCCCATCGTGTACCCGCCAGGGGTGGGTTTTGGGGATTGTTGTTCTGTGTGGGGAGGGGAGGGAGGGGAGGGGGGGGGGCTGAGTGGTAGGGGGAGGGGGGGGCTAAGTGGTAGGGGAGGGGGGGGCGTGGAGTGGTAGGGGAGGGGGGGGTTAAGCGAGGAGCTGGATGTGACGTCCTATCAAAGACACGAGTGAAGTGGTGTAAATGTTGGGTGTCTGTGCAGGCAAGATTGCTCAGGCATCCATCAGTTTCACCACTACATGGCCAACCAGCCCAGTGCACCTGTCTGACGAACTCTCCACCACCCATCCCCACCCTAACCCACAGCCCTTCCGATCTGGGAGGGAGCCATCCATGCCGTTGCAATTAGGGCCGTTCGAGATCGTGCTGACCAACCGCGGGAACATGGAGAACTTCATCATGCCGTTTATAGAGTGAGTCTTATGCCTTCCCCGCCCCAATGGGCAGAGAGTCAATGGACCGCTGCAGAAACACGAAATCTTCATAACACCTCCTCTTCTCCCTGTGCTTGCAGTTACGATTCGGACGAGAACGAAGACAATGTGGAAGAGGACGCTCGGCCCGATGACAGTGGGGGATGGTGAGCTCTTATTCACCGCTGTGATTGGCCTTCACTTGCACGCTGTCCAGCATGACACGCATTGCCTGGAGTGTAAGGTAACATGTAGAGCAGAAGTTCTCGGGCCTAGCCATCCCAAGAACGGTGGAGGACCTCACTATTCCCAGGCACCGGAGTGAGGTTCAAAACCGGATCCCGGGGTCGATGCAATCTGCTCCCGGGAAGATCGGTCCCCGCTCAAGTGTCCTCGTCAGAAGTGCTCGGTTCGAGTTCGACTTCCGTGACTGGACAACACATTGTACTCAAACTTCACTCTTGCTTCTCATCATGTCGGCCCTAGCTGTGAAGAGCGCGTCTGCGGGGATTGCGGGACGACGCGTCGCCTTATCGCTCCTGCCCATTGTGCAGGCAAGTGTCGACCGGCGTCGCCTGAGCAGGAGCACCGCTTCCGAGCTTTTTATTGCATCTGAAACGCCATATTCGGTCTCACTTCGCGCAGGGGGCTCCTGAGGTGCAGCGATGGGCCAGAATGAAACCCGAGCTGCCGGTTCCCGAGCCAGCAGCACCGGCTCCGAGTGCAGCTCTTGCGTTCGAAAACGCACCCTCGAAGCGCGCAGTGAACAAGGTGGGCATTTAAATGGTCTAGAGGTGGCTTCAGGGCGCCCCGGTATCCCGGGCCTCCCATGCTGGGTGTCGGAGATTGAGTATCCGGGGAACAGTTGGGGTCTTTCGATCCGTCTTATCTACGGCATCGTGCTGCATCCGGATGTGAAGCTCAGAAGGGTCACCCGCCCGCCTACCGCAGAGCTACGTGCTGCACATTGGAGCTGCCCTGAACATCCCCACCGACAATGCACGGGAGAGGCCCGCAATGCAGCAGCAGCCTGCCCTCTCCTCACAGTCAGCTGACCCAACGGCTGTTCGCGATCCATTTGAGGTGTGTCGGGGGAGCAATGTTGAGTTACAGCTCGTAGTTTGTGGCAGTTGTGGTCTACTTGTGTCCATGGTGGCAGGATGATTGAACATTCGGTTGCCCTTGCACCCGCTGTGTGATGTCTGCCGGTTGAACTGCAGACAATCTTACTCTTTGCAGGGAGTCCCGTTCCGCGGTCTGGCCGGGTACCGGGCATGGGTACAATCGCAAGCTGTGACGTCCTATCAAAGACACGAGTGAAGTGGTGTAAATGTTGGGTGTCTGTGCAGGCAAGATTGCTCAGGCATCCATCAGTTTCACCACTACATGGCCAACCAGCCCAGTGCACCTGTCTGACGAACTCTCCACCACCCATCCCCACCCTAACCCACAGCTCTTCCGATCTGGGAGGGAGCCATCCATGCCGTTGCAATTAGGGCCGTTCGAGATCGTGCTGACCAACCGCGGGAACATGGAGAACTTCATCATGCCGTTTATAGAGTGAGTCTTATGCCTTCCCCGCCCCAATGGGCAGAGAGTCAATGGACCGCTGCAGAAACACGAAATCTTCATAACACCTCCTCTTCTCCCTGTGCTTGCAGTTACGATTCGGACGAGAACGAAGACAATGTGGAAGAGGACGCTCGGCCCGATGACAGTGGGGGATGGTGAGCTCTTATTCACCGCTGTGATTGGCCTTCACTTGCACGCTGTCCAGCATGACACGCATTGCCTGGAGTGTAAGGTAACATGTAGAGCAGAAGTTCTCGGGCCTAGCCATCCCAAGAACGGTGGAGGACCTCACTATTCCCAGGCACCGGAGTGAGGTTCAAAACCGGATCCCGGGGTCGATGCAATCTGCTCCCGGGAAGATCGGTCCCCGCTCAAGTGTCCTCGTCAGAAGTGCTCGGTTCGAGTTCGACTTCCGTGACTGGACAACACATTGTACTCAAACTTCACTCTTGCTTCTCATCATGTCGGCCCTAGCTGTGAAGAGCGCGTCTGCGGGGATTGCGGGACGACGCGTCGCCTTATCGCTCCTGCCCATTGTGCAGGCAAGTGTCGACCGGCGTCGCCTGAGCAGGAGCACCGCTTCCGAGCTTTTTATTGCATCTGAAACGCCATATTCGGTCTCACTTCGCGCAGGGGGCTCCTGAGGTGCAGCGATGGGCCAGAATGAAACCCGAGCTGCCGGTTCCCGAGCCAGCAGCACCGGCTCCGAGTGCAGCTCTTGCGTTCGAAAACGCACCCTCGAAGCGCGCAGTGAACAAGGTGGGCATTTAAATGGTCTAGAGGTGGCTTCAGGGCGCCCCGGTATCCCGGGCCTCCCATGCTGGGTGTCGGAGATTGAGTATCCGGGGAACAGTTGGGGTCTTTCGATCCGTCTTATCTACGGCATCGTGCTGCATCCGGATGTGAAGCTCAGAAGGGTCACCCGCCCGCCTACCGCAGAGCTACGTGCTGCACATTGGAGCTGCCCTGAACATCCCCACCGACAATGCACGGGAGAGGCCCGCAATGCAGCAGCAGCCTGCCCTCTCCTCACAGTCAGCTGACCCAACGGCTGTTCGCGATCCATTTGAGGTGTGTCGGGGGAGCAATGTTGAGTTACAGCTCGTAGTTTGTGGCAGTTGTGGTCTACTTGTGTCCATGGTGGCAGGATGATTGAACATTCGGTTGCCCTTGCACCCGCTGTGTGATGTCTGCCGGTTGAACTGCAGACAATCTTACTCTTTGCAGGGAGTCCCGTTCCGCGGTCTGGCCGACAAGCTTGGGGAGATGATGATGCCAAGCGTTGAGGTGGGCTTGAGATGTTATGTGAAAAAGGCTTCTGTGTGTATGCCTGGCCTGTGTTTCATGGACCTGTGAATCTGTGTGGGATTTTCTGCTGTCGGCTGGCACTGATGCAATAGAGGGTGCCTGACTATGGCTAGCCCTGCGTTTTCACTTGTGCTCAAAGTACACCGTAGCCGGCCTGAACAAGAAGACACCCGTCCCACTACCCATCCTGCAGGCCATGCGAGAGCAGCAACGCATGTCGGCCACTCAACTCCGGCTGGCGGCGGAGGCCGCGGAGGTCATGGTACCTGCGGTACCGCACCTCCTCCCCATCACGCGCTGGGCGGCCAACAACGAGCGCATCCGCGCCACCTTCGTGGACGACAAGGCCACCAGGAAGAAAGCGCGGCTGTCGTGGTACCACCCTGATGACACCATGGTGCCGCGCGGCTGGTTCACTCAGGGGCTGCTGGCCGACCTCAAATACTACACACCCTTTGCCAAGGCCCAGTGAGGCGGGCGCCCGTGCAGCCGAGGCTGCGTCGCCGCCCGCGCCGCCATCGCCTCCTTTCTGCGAACAGATGCTGGGTCTGCTCTCCAGCAGCATCCCCATGCTCCATCTCTCTCCACAAGGCCTGGCTCCAACAGTGCCAGCTCGAACCTGGACGGTGCCTTTGCTCGGCAGCCGCTCCTGCCAACGATTTTCAATGACACTAACAGCACTCTCCCATGTGTCAATTTTCAGGCGCCCGCCTGACACATGCCCTCTAATTTTTCTCGCACCCGGGCGACATTCTGCCAGTCGACCCTACCTGTTGGAATTTTCCTGGTTTTCCAAGGTACAGCGGCGGAGCCCTCTGTACTTTGCCAGCCTTCCAGTCGGGATTTTTTTGGTGCTGTCTTCATGTACCCTCTCTGTAATGTAACATCCCCGAGGAAGCAGGAAGGTAATGTGAAGAGCAGTACAACTACGAGGCCTGCCCATTGCAAGACATCCCGCTGGCTCGGATCACAGACTCAGTGACCCGGAAAGGCACAGCGATCCACAGTGCACATACGATCGGATCCCAAGACATATACTGTGTTCCTGCAACATACTTTTGTCACAACAAGGACAACCAGAGCTGTCCATCGTGGGAAGGAACGCCCAGCAGGTTTGAGGGGGCGCAGGGCACAACCTTCCCTCACAACGGCCGCGGGATCGGCAGGCCACCGGCCATCACTTCGGTGCACCACGGCATTCGACTGCACAGGATTCCATCGGAATGGGTGCGTTCGGGGGAACCGGCGTGCGCATCGCTGTTCGGACTGGCAGGTGGGAGGCATTCCTGCACCCCTGCCCCCACCCTCCCACCTTCACATCCTGCAGGCATCCCCAAGTTCTACCGCTGGCTCAGCGAGCGGTACCCCTTGATAAACCAGCCAGGGGGTGCCACGGTGGTCCCCATCATCGACAACCTTTACCTTGACATGAACGGCATCATTCACAACTGCACGCACGGGAACAACCCGGACGTCAGACTGACAGAGGACGAAATGATCCTGCGCATCTTCACGTACCTTGACAAGATTTTCCACATCGTCAAACCCCAGAAGCTGCTGTTCATGGCTATCGATGGTGAGGTGTCGGGAGGGAAAGTTTTCGAGGGAGGGAGGTTGTTCCCCAAGGGGTCCTTGCCCTGCAACCACTGATCAGGCCATGTGACGCCATGCGGCACATGGCCTCAGGCTCCCTGAGGGGAAATGCCTCTCACATGTCCAATGCTTGAGCACACGGTGAAATTCACACGATATTCCACCCTCCAGGCGTGGCGCCCCGTGCCAAGATGAACCAGCAGCGATCGCGGCGATTCAAGGCTGCCAAGGAAGCCGCCGCCGCTGCCGAGAAGGCCGAGAAGGCCGCCGCAAAGACCTCTGACGTCGCAGAGGACAGCAAGCCGCCCGTTTTTGACTCCAACTGCATCACGCCCGGCACACGTAAAGGGATAGGGGAGCGGGTTGGGGGAGGGTCCAGGCATGAGGCGCTCGTCGCTGAGGCCCGTACAGGGCAAGGCAGCAGAGCACACCTTTCTGCGAGCCATGAGCCATCAGTCTGATGTGAAGTTGACCGGCTACCTTGCCAGCGTGGTGCATGCTGCACGGGCCTACAAAACTCCAGGCCCGAGGCCTGTTCAGCTCTGTGCCTGACTCATTGCCCGGTCGTGCTCACCATCAAAACGCAATCGCCTCCCCTCTCCGCCCAGCCTTCATGGTGCGGCTGGGCGCCCACTTCCGCTTCTTTGTCCGCAAGAAGATCGCCGAGGACGTGGCATGGCGGCGACCCACCATCATCTTCTCAGGTGGGCCCAGGGTGTCTCAGTGTCAGCGGCAGTGCCAGGCTGGGAGAGGGCGCGCCGGCTGTGGCCTGGGCGGCACGGCACAGGCATGAAGTGCTGTCTGTGAGCAGCGAGGCTGCATCCCACCCCTCCCTGCCTTTCAGGGCACGACGTCCCGGGAGAGGGAGAGCACAAGATCATGGAGCACATCCGCTGGGCGAAACAGGCGCCCGGCTACCCGCCCAACACCCGGCACTGCCTCTACGGGCTGGACGCCGACCTCATCATGCTCTCCCTGGTCACCCACGAGCCCCACTTCTGCCTCCTGCGGGAGGTGGTGAGCTACACGGGCGGCGGCAAGGGCCAGCCCGCCAGGGAAGCCCTGGAGAACCCGGGAGAAAGCACGTTTGTCCTGCTGCAGATCGGGTTAGCTGGTGTGAGACAGGGAGGGAGGGAGAGGAGGATGCATGGAAGGACATTCCCATTCCCGTCAAGTGCTTGTGGGCGCAGGGGGGCTGCAATTATTGCTGTGTGGTACTGGGCTTTGTGTCTGGTTGGGCACATTGAAGGCGACGGGAGTCTCTTGCCCTCAACCCTGATGGGGGCCGTGCAGAGCCCAGCAATGGCAAAGAGATCGTCAACTATATGCCATGCTACCATGCCCATGCTCGGTGCTGTGCATACGGCATGCAGAATGTAGGCCTGGCGCCGGGCAACCGCCCCCCTCGAGTACCTTTCTTGTTCTCACCCTGGCACGACATACCTTCTTTCCTACTACAGGCTCCTTCGCGAATACTTTGAGCTGGAGTTTAAGCCTGCGCAGAAGATGCCCTTCCCATTCAGCGTCGAGCGGGTCGTGGACGACTTTGTGCTCTTCTGCATGCTGATCGGGAACGATTTCCTGCCCCCCCTGCCCACCGTCGACATAGCAGAAGGTAATGGAGCGGGTGGCTGCTGGGTGCCACTGGGATATCGTACTGTTTGATACGTGGCCTGCGTAGGCTGTAACACTCCTATTCACTGCGACATATTGTGCCCCCTCGTGGGTTCTCGCCTTGTTTCCAAGTGAGCCACCTGCTCCATGTGCATTCCGATGTGCATGTTACGGGGCACCATCTGTGCTGCAAACGTTCCATGCAGAGTGGCAGGATCCTCCCACTCGCTGATCACACCCCCAAATCCTGCCACCCAATGCGCACAGGCTCCCTTGAAACCATGTTTGACCTGTATAAGGAGCTCCTGCCTGAGCTGGGTGGGTACCTGACCCATGCCGGGAAGCTGCACAGGGGCAGGCTGGAGGTGTTCCTGCACAAGCTCGCCAACCTGGAGGCCAAGGTCCTGCAGGAGCGCGCACTTGTGAGTAGTGAGGCCGCGCTGCCTGGGGCAAGCGAGGTGGAAGGGGAGGCACATGCCGGTCGTAGCTGTTCCTACGTGGGAGGAGCCCCTTTACACTTGAGTCGCCCTTGATTATGCTCAACCCACAAACCCTTCGATCGACGAGGACCGAAGGCGTTGCTGCGCTCTCCTGCCCCCATCCCCTTCCAGCGACCATACCAGTTATCAGTGCACCCCCCACCTGCCTGCTGCATCACAGGAAGCACAGAGCCTCGACGACAAGAAGCGGAAGAAGGGGCCCGGCGAGACTCCCGCCTGGGCCTCGGAGCGTGTGGAGGGCCGGCGGCGGGAGGAGCGCGCCGCCGGTCCCAATGCCCCCCCGGCCGGGGACGAAGTGCCCGAGCTCGGCCTGGGCCACGGCGGCCGTTTCGCGGCGCTGGCCTCTGGGCGTGGCCTGGAGCTGCTGGCTGCGGTGGAGGGACTGGAGGAGGAGGAGGGTGGAGGAGGAGGTGATCCTGGCCCCCCTCCCCGCGCCGCCCGCGGCGGACGCGGAGCCCGCGCCGGAGCCAGCCCCTGGCGCCGGGGAGGCGGCCATCCCCCACCCCACCCCGCGGCCCCCCGCCAAGCCCACGATGATGAGTCAGGAAGCGCGGGACCTGTTCCTGAAGAGCGCCAGCGCGGAGGAGGCCGCGCTGGCGTGGAAGGAGCGGCTCTATGTCACCAAGCTGGGCGTGGGCACGGACCCCGCGGCGCGGCGGGCGGTGGTGGATGCTTACATGCACGGCCTGCACTGGGTGCTGGAGTACTACTACCGCGGCGTGGCCTCCTGGAATTGGTACTACCCTTACCACTACGCACCCATGGCCTCCGATCTGGTGAGCGGGGGGAGTTTGTGCGGGGGGGGACAGTGGGATGTAAGGGAGTGGAAAGGGCCACTGGTGAGGATTGGGAGGGCTTGGGGGGCTGTGGAGGGGTGCTTCATGGTTGTCCTTTCCCATGAGTGGGGGGAGGTGGAGTGCTCATGGCTTGTGCTTGCCTCATTCGACACGGGAGGGGTCCGGGAGGGCGCTGGACTCGGGGCGTGCAGGCCAGCTGCTCGAGTGTTGGGGTTGCGCGGTGGGCGAGGAGGCATTTGTCCACCTGTGTGCCATGTTGATTGCAGCATGAGGAGGGCAGCACATCGGCGCAGCCCCAGTGGGGGGAGTGAAGGAGCCTGCGTGCCTGGCTGAGCCAGGGCAAGCAAGCGGTGCCCCAACGTTCTCAGCCCTGCTGAACCCTCGCAAGTACGGCCCCCTCACGCAGGTGGATCTGGAGCAGGTGCGCATCAGCTTCACCCATGGCGAGCCGTTCCTACCCTACGAACAGCTGCTGGCGGTGCAGCCGGCAGCTTCCTGCCAGCTGCTCCCCGGCCCCTACCAGGTCGACCCGTGTTGGGAGGCAGGGCAGGGGTTGGGTGGACGGGAGGACCGCGTGCTTCCACCGCTTGTGGGACAGAGGCGTCCATCCTCTGGCTATGCCTGCGCGGGGTTGCCCTTACTCTGCTGCCAGAGACCAGGCAGGCGGGCAGGGATGGCTCCTCTGGGCACTCGGGCACATGGCCACGCAACTCAGCTACCTCCCCCACTCACATTGCAGAGATTCATGCTGGACCCAGACTCGCCCATCAACTTCTTCTACCCCAAAGATTTTGTGGTGGACCTAGAGGGCAAGAGTGAGCGGGGCTCGGGCAGAGAGTGCAGGGAGTCGAGGGAAGGGAGTGGGGGCGCAGGTGTGCCGCGTCCTAGGCTGCCGGTAGGAGGGCCACTGGATGAGTGAGCGCTGTGCTGCGAGGCTGGCCTGGCGGCACAGGCCTCCCAACCCCAGAGTCATGACTGGGTACGGTCGCTCGGTGCACTGGCTGAACAGGCCCATGGCCTCACCTCAAATATCCCTCGGGCCCTTCCACAGAGGCGGAGTGGGAGGGCGTCGTCCTCATCCCCTTCATCGACGAGCAGAAGCTGCTGGCGGTTTCTCGCAGCATCCCGCCCTCGGCGCTCACCCCTATGGAGCAGACCTGCAACCAGCACGGGTCCATGGTCATCTTCAAGCATGCGGGAGGTGCGAGGGAGGGTGCGAGGAACTGTGCAGACGGGTTACCCGAAGACGGCGCTGCTGCATCTGACGTTCTGTGCGCTGGCGGGTAGCTGATGGGGGGAAAGGCAGGACTTGCAGGCGGCAATCAGATGAGGGGGGTGCTCACTGACTCCCTCCCATACCCGACTCCACCACCTTCCCCAGAGCTGACCGGCGAGACCTCCGACTGCAGCAGCACCCTCCCCGAATCCTTTTCCAACGTGACGCTGTGCAATTCCACGGTCACTCGCCAGCCCCCACTGCCCCCCTTCCCGCACGGACAACCCGGCTTCATTCCCAAGGTGCGTGCCTAGGCGGGTGGGTGGGTCTGAGTCTGCTGCGTGCAGGGGCTGCATTGGTATGGGGAAGGGAGACGTGGTACTCGACACGATCCTGCTCTGGTTTGGGGGGGCAAGCTACTCATCCGTGCAAGAGGGCCCAATCAGGCACTGGGTGGCTGTCGAGCCCTGCAAGGAACCCTGGTGTGCGTGCGGAGACTGGCGTGGGCGGCATGATGTCAGGCGGAGCGCATCGGGCCGATTGCTGGGTTCCATGGTGCCCCCGTTTCCTCCCCTCCCGTCTTGGAGCGCCCGCTCAGCGCAGCACCAAAAACCCCACACGCTTGATCGCACAGATCGTGCCGGGGACGAAGATGGGCAAGCACGCGCCGAGCGGCTTTCCAACCCTCGGCACGCTCTCCGTGGCCGGCAAGATTGAGAATGCAAAGTGCTCGGTCTTTGGGATGCACTCCAAGCGGCCCTCCCTCATCCTGGCAATCAAGGTGGGGGGGGGGGGAGGTGGGAGATCAGGGGCGTGGGGATGTGCGATGGCTCTGCAGGCAGTCATGCCTGGGCGGGGGCGAGTCGAGCAGTGCCTTTCGCTGCGTCGGACGGCCGCCCTCGAGTCCCCGCCCTTGCGGCCCATCGCTCCTCTCTGCAGGCCCCCGCCGTTGACGTGACGCCCACAGCCGAGACCCTGGCCCCTCACGTCATTGGAAGCCGGGTCTGGATCCGCTGGCCATATTTGACAGAGGGGCTCATCTCATGCATCGGGGACGAGACCGGCAGGGTGAGCGGAGTGTTGGGTGCTCTGGGGCGGCCCCTTGGGGACTGACTTTGGTCGCCAGCAAGCCCCATGGAGCTGTGGTGCGGGCGCAGTCGCACCCTGGGAAGATGGGTATCTTGAAAAAACTGTGCAATCAGCTCGGCCCCCGCATGTCTACCCCAGGTGCCCGCTGCGGGGGCCCCGGTGATCGTGGACCCAGCGTGGAAGGAGAATGTGGAGGCCCAGAGGATCGAGTTCCTGGAGAAAAGGGTGCGTGCATGCGTCAAGCGGTGGTTGGAGGAATGCGGGCGGATGGGTATGCTGTCGCGAACCCTCTGCTGGGAGACAAGGCAGTGGGCCGCAGGCATGGGGAGTGGGCCTGCCGCTGCTAGAGAGCACGGTGGCTTGGCCTGAGCCTGTGTGCAGTGCGCCGGCAGGCCAGCGAGGCATTCACCTGATGTGAGCCTGCCCAACACCTCCTGGGGCGAGCGGCGAGTCGCGGCCCGAGCAACACGGGAGCCACGGAGTCTTCCCCCCCCTCTCACACTCCCGCCAGGGCGTGGACATCGGGCCCAGCCCCCTGTGGGTGGAAGTGCGTCCGCTGGAGGTGCTGGTGCGCCACGCCGACGGCAGCTTCGCCAAGAGCTTCGCGGAGAAGGGGGAAATGGTGCCGCTGCAGCTGGCACTGCGGAGCAACCCCTCCCCCGACCCCCGCTTCGACCCGGACGCGCTGCAGGCGGGCGCGGCGCTGTTCGAGCCCGGCAGCCGTGCGGTGGTCGGCAAGGGGCCCTACTACGGCTGCCTGGCGCGGGTGCTGGGCCCGGGCGCCGGAGGGGAGGTCGGGCCGGGACCGCGGCGCGCGATGAGCGTCAGCGTCGAGCCGCCGCCCCCCACCGCCGCCAGCGCGGCCAAGACCGCGCTGGCGCTGCTGGGAGGGGGGGCGCCGCGTTACTGCCCCGCCCACCAGGCGGCCAAGCAGGTCGGCATCAGCCCGAGCGCCCTGGGCCGGATCGCAGGTGCGCTGGCCCGGGGGGGTGGGGAAGGGGGGGCGCTGGAGGGAATTAGGGGCATGGGTCATAATATGTTGGGGCGATTTCCTCAGGGTTCACGGCCACAGCTGGGGGGATCAGGACGGCGGCCCTGTGCCGATCCCCTCTCCTTCAGCCTGCCTGGCGCCCGCGCCCGCTGCACTGCCCACTGCCCCCCCCCCCCCTTTGCCCCCCCCCCCCCCCCAGGCCCGCTGTC